GGGATGAACAATTCCGCTTGTGACTGTTGTTGTGCTTTTCAGAAATTTAATGGCATCTGGCATACTTGGGTCAGCCAAAAGATGCCATTTCGATTCAAGGCTTTTTGCATCCCAGGTTTTGTTTTCCCAAGTGGATTTTCCACCCTTCAGACTTCAATTTTAGTTGATTCTTCAGCCATTGAGACTAGTTTTCCAAAATGCACTTCATAGCTATCTCTAATATCTGCAAAGGATAATTGCGGTAAGTTTGCTATCATCTTGGGCGGAACCTGCATTGGCCCGGGTAGACGTTTTGTAGTCTTCGATGAGACTTTGTTTACCAATTAGTAGACGAATACAGTTTTAATTCAGCGATTTCCAAATCGTTGTTTTTTAGGTTTCACTGTCTGTGCTGTGGCTTTGCCAGCTTCTGTGTACTAATGCGCAAAGAAAACGAGGTATTTATTGGTCGCAAGCCAAATACAATAATATATCCGCTTTCTTTGCTCTGAAGGCGTCTTGAACCTCCCGGTACTGTTCTCCTAAGAGAGCTGCGTAAAAACTTAACATTATGTAATCTACAGTTGACTGCGTGTAACGACTGATATTTGACTTTAAAAAATGTCCAGACTACCTTGGAAGGAATATGGCAGAAATTGGACAGAAATGAATGTCATTTGCGCCAGTAGAGTACTGTCGAAAAAGTTAAAGCAAGGTTGTCAGTCCTCACAACAGAAGATGAAGTTTATACTTTATGAGCCAGCATTGCAACGTGCCAGAAGGGTACCATGAATATATAACGTGTCACTCAACTACTTTAACCGGAGTATATACACGACAACCAAGATAACTGAAGCCCTGCAGAGAAATGATCAGTGTATTAGATAAATGAGCAGATAAACGAACTGCACTGAATTTTTTTTGTTTCTGTATGTGCGGTTAATAAAGGTATTTATTGCGCCTGGAGTGACTTCTGTGGATGGTCATAGGTCTTTTAAACAGTTAAGCTATGGATATTGCCATGAGTCAGTCTCTCGTGTCTTCATAGTGTTTCTCGAATGAAATGACATTCTCACCATACGTACGTAGGAAACGCCTTCAGTCAGTGACTGGAAATTGCTTTTCAGGGAGCGAGCGTTCGCGCTTTTACTAGGCTGTCCGTGAAGTGAATTTTAATACAGAAATTTTTGATCGTTAAATTTCAGTTTTGTTACTTGTTTGGACTGTCATTCGTTTAGGAAGAAGTTGCCGATTTGAAGATGCGCTATGAAAATTTAGATGCAGAACGAGTACGCCAAGTGGATGAACTGAACGCCAAACTCGAGCAACTGCGAGGTCAACTAAAAGATGCTACGTATTCGACCAATTTTCTCAGCAGTGCACCCTGTTCATCGACGACGACCACTTCAACACTCGAGCCAGCATGCACTGCCAGCGACGTCAATGTGAGTACAGATATGGCCGTTTGCTAAATTGTGTAGAGTTTACTGGTGGCTTTTAGTACTTAAGCGAACTCGTCAAAGACGCTTTACCGAAGGATTTTGGTATGACGGCCTTTTTAAGTCATTTTTGTTACAGAATTTGTTCATTAACTTTCAGTACTAAACGAAATTCCTTTTCGCTTGAGAGTAATTTCTTTTCGCTGGCAGATTTTGTTAAAAAATCCGGAATTACTGCGTATATATAGCCAGAGAAGTCTTCAGAAAGAACATTTTATAAAGTGTTGTAGGGTTTGGTTTTGCAGG